GCCTCTGACTTTGGGATACATTTTTCGTGAGACTCTTCCGGAAATGCTATCAATTCAATCAATTCAGAGATTAACTCAAACATCAAATTAATTTCACGAGTATTTTAATTAAACATTCGAAGGGAACCAAATCGAGTGGAAACAGATTGTCATACCATTTAAAAATAGATTTCCTAATAGTGTGGATAAGAGAAAATAACTGTAAGACTAACAGTAATCGGGATAGACTTGCTATATATGATTAATACAGAACAACCTAAAGAATTTTTTGTGTAAAACTATAAATTGGTATCAAGAATAATTTCTATGGTTGAATCATGAGTTTAATAAAAATTATACTGGTAAACAAAAAAAGATCAATATTTATTATAAAATTAATTGAAATATACGGCACATTAGAAGATCAGATTTGAAATCATTAAAAATAAATGACATAATGTGTAATTATAAAAACAATTTTGTGAGAAATTACTGTAGATATACAAGTGCTTATACAGTACATATAATTCAGTAAGTTATTTTGTATAAATTACATAACTTAATTTAAAAAATAACCTATATTTGCGCATTAATAACATAGTAATCAATAATAAATAAAATCATTGCCTTTTTAAAATATTTACTGTATTAATCATTTAATAAGAAATTAAATGAATAGAACTGGAATAAAAAAGTTTGTTTTATGATTTTATAAGGTTTATTTTAATGGCTTATAAACCGCACATTTCTATTAAATTCCAACACATTTTTGACATGAGATGTCAAATTAAATTATGAAATTGAAAATTAAAACTCTATTAAGTTATGACATAAATTAATGCAATCAGAAATGTGTGCAAAAGTCAATATTTAGTCAAATATGAAAACTATAGAACAGGTTATGATAAGAAATACTAGTATTACATGACTTGTGAATAACTATTCATTTACAATGTTTATAAAGATTTGTTTAAGATTTTGTGAACTAAAACGAGTGAACTAAGAATTCTTGTAATAATACTGTATTAAAGTATCCACAAATGTTAATTAAGATTAACATTTTAAATCACACAAATTATCACATCATTTCGTATTTTAAGTGATTTAAAGAGATTTTAAAAAACAATTATCTATTGAATGATTGCATAAATGATTAAAAAACATATTTAAGATGTAGTTATAAATCATGTGAGAATTGAGTCATTGAGATGTTATTTTGCATATAATTAACATACAGTAAACGATATTCATTTAAATTAATTGCAGTACTAATTATAAAACACGAATAATAATGCCGTTAAATATTTGTGCAATGATTTCAATATTTTCAAATCGTTTACTGTAAATCATGATTTCATTGAAAACTAGATTCTATATAATCGTATGGTTTGTAATGTGGTATATTTTCAAACATTTCATACAACACCTAACTGTAAACGTCTTGATTCAAGAAAAAACACTTTCATTTGTGACCCATAAATGGATGCAAGTCGTGATTCACTCTATATTATAGCTAGCATTGCATCCAAACTCTATGCAATAGTGATAAAAACAATTTTTACATATTTATAGAGTAGTGCAACAGTCCTATTGTCAGAATATTAAAGCATACAATGAAATAGCACTCTATTATAGCCCATCCCTTAAGTTTATTTAACGGCTAATTAAAAATATATTTTGTTATGTTTTTCGGGGCTCATTCACAACACCACTTGTAAGTTATAATTAGAGACAAACAAAACAGAGTAATATTAGTGGGAGTAATGAAACATCATTTTAACGATAGGCTCAACTCGAAATACTATTGATATTCAGGATATCCTCTGTTTGTAAATATTATATATTACTTACTCTATTCATTCAATTGATATTTGTGGTTTGAATTTTGTTTGTTTATAACCATAATCTAGAGGACCATTCTCTAATATATATTGTAGCCCACAATACAATTAATTGCACCACTTAACTAACAATAATATATCATATTTGGTCAATTGCTTGCATCTAAATGTCGTTTATATATCAAATATTTATCAACATTTTGATAAAAATTCCTCAATTCATGAACAAAGCTATTGTTGGCTTCAAATCAATTCAATTGTGGTGTCAATTGGATTGTCATCTAATCTTACACTTCATATCATATAACAGCAACTGTCTGGCTATGAGCTCACATATTATGTCATTAATTGACTTTTAATGCATTCGTTGTTTACCACGAATATTATTTATCAACAGTTATGCAATTAACTCAAGAATCCAATTCTTGTAAATAAAGCACACTAAATGTAGTTTAAGATTGTTATCAAAATAAAATGTAATTTTTATCATTTAATTATCAAACTTATCAAAGCATTCAAAGTATATAATTAGCGCCAAAAACATACTAAACATAAATGTGATTGTTTTGAAGGACTCATACATTGCATCGATTTATGCAAATAATAATACATTCAATAGAGTACTGCTATTCACCGCATACTTCAAGTCTCCTATTCTCACATTTATTCTCAATTTATGTCATTCTTTGACTAATAGTTTGTCTTTTTATACGAAAATCACACAAATTCTCAAATATATGGGACACCAGTGCTAACATACCAGTGCTGTGCCTGTCATACATCTCAGCATCACTTCTACAGTATATGCGGTGATGAGAGCGAGACAGGGATGGAGAGAGAGAGAGAGAGGGAGGGAGAGAGAGAGGGAGAGAGAGAGAGAGAGAGAGAGAAATCATAAGTTTAATAAAAATTATACTGGTAAACAAAAAAAAAAGTTCAATATTTATTATAAAATTAATTGAAATATACGGCACATTAGAAGATCAGATTTGAAATCATTAAAAATAAATGACATAAAGTATAATACAATAAAGTTAATATAATATAATAATAGAGTAATTGTATTGTTTGTATAGATGCTCGACTGCTGAGAGAGAGAGAGAGAGAGATTCTGGTGATTATGGAAATGGGTTTAAATGGAAAGCAAGACAATGTGATGACATCCCTGTCCACACCACACAATATTAATAGTATGGGAAGTGATCGCAAGACTTACCCAAAGATTGCAATGAATTGGAAATAATTAATGAAAATAAAGTTAGGATTGAAATCCAATTCTTGCAAATCGTATGAATGAAAGATCGTATGGATTGTGAATACAAACACATTCTGGGATCACATTGAAGACAATAAATGGCGACAAATGAATGAGTGAAACATGAGTTGAGCGACAATTCACCACAATTTGGGATCAATTAATGCTCGCCGTGAAGACGTAATGCGCGCTATATTTCAATCACCAATTCATAAGCAAAACCATAATCTATTCAATACTGCTGTCAATACTGCGAATATTCACTGCAATCGCATAACACATACAACACATACACTGCCTCTCAGTCTCCTCCTATTCACTCATGTGTTGTGCAGTAGAGCTATACTCCCGATGTTTAACACAATTTCCAATATTGTAGGCAATATTCCCTCCGTTTAGACATTGATTCGCATTATTACTACTTTATTGCCTAATATATTGCAACCGACGGGCATTTCCCACAAATATTAAGAATATTTGCATAAATTGTTGATTACTTTAAAATCTAAGTTTAAATAATGAGTGAGTCTTGTGAAGAGGTGGTGATGAACAGCAGTGGTCAACAATGGATGTGTTGGATCCACTCAAGTCAAGGAATAGCATTCAATTTGTTTGCCGATTAGTGAATGCGAGAAAGCATTGAGTGAATTGGGAACAAATGAGTGACTCTTCAGCCATCTATTGGTGGATGTGTTGAGAATTAAAAGGATTTCACGTGTGGTTGTTGTGGTGGTTGTGGTCGTGTATGAAATGCACACAACGTTTGCCTCACGAGTTGTTAAACGTTTGTCTCACGCCTCCAGACATTGACTGAAGCATTGATTGCCAACAAGTGATTACAACTTATAATTGAAGCCAACTATCAGTGGATTAGATGTAAGACATGTCACATGATATGGACGGACAGTTTGATGACGCGGTGGACGACACCACGGATGGCGTGTTGGATCACATCTCTTATCTGAAGGTTAGTCGCAATGAAGAGACGGATTCAGAAGAGGAAGACTTGTCTGAAGAGGAGGAATACATGAGTGAAGGGATGGAGGGAATGGATAGGAAAGGCATGTATTGCGGCAATAGGTTTGAGACGAATACGAAACGTCTGGAGAAATACGAGAATCGCATAAATTGTGACAAATATATGATTCCTGTGAAGACAATGAATATACTGAACGCAACGGACCGTCGATTGGATGACGAGAGGAAACGAATTAAAGACAAATCCGATCGTTCGACTCAAGAGCAGGTCTTGGATCCGAAGACGAGAATCATTTTGTTTAAACTGATAAACAGACACCTGATTGAAGAGATCAATGGTGTGATCAGTACCGGCAAAGAGGCGAATGTATATCACGCCACGAGTCGCGATGGGGTCGACAAAGCCGTGAAAATCTACAAGACTTCGATCCTGACGTTCAAAGACAGAGACAAATACGTGAGCGGAGAGTTCCGGTTCAGGTATGGCTACTGTCGACACAACCCCAGGAAAATGGTTAGGACTTGGGCTGAGAAGGAGATGCGCAACCTCTCCAGGATCTACCAGTCGGGCATCGATTGTCCCAAACCTCACGTTCTCCGGAGTCATGTCCTGGTCATGGACTTCATCGGAACCAATGGACTGCCGGCCCCTCTCCTCAAAGACGTGGATTTAAGTGAATCAAAGGCCCGGCAGTTGTATTATGACTGCATTGTTATGATGAGGAAAATGTTCTTTGAGTGCCGTTTGGTTCACTCAGACTTAAGTGAATTCAATCTTCTCTACAATGACTCCAAACTCTATGTCATAGATGTCTCACAGTCTGTCGAATCAGACCATCCGATGGCCTTAGAGTTCTTGCGGAAGGACTGCACGAATGTCAACGAATTCTTCCGCAAAAAATCAGTTCCAACGATGACTACGAGAGAGTTGTTTGACTTTATTACTGATCCTAATATTAATGACCAAAATATAGACGTCTATCTGGAAAGGGCTCAACACATCGCCGCCAACAGGACTGACCAGCACTTGGAAGACGAGCATAAAGTAGACGAAGAGGTCTTCAAAAAGGTTTATATTCCTCAACGTCTGCAAGAAGTGACTGATTTTGAGAACGACGTCCTTAAAGGCAACAAAAAAGAGGTTTTCTATAAAACTATCACATCGTTGAAGGCAGACCTGACGGGTCCCACACTTATCCCTTCAATACTTGATAACAATGAGTCTTCAAATGAAAGCGACAACTCATCCGATGATAACAGTTCTGAATCGGACGCTGCAGACAAAAAAGGTTTTGTTAATTCCTCTCGACCTAAGAATGAGACCACAGATGAGAGAAAGGTTTGAGTCATTGCTTCAAATTAATGATTATATTTTTAAATGTTTTTCATTATTAGTTAAGAAAAACTGCTCTAAAAGAAGAGAAAAGAGAGAAACGAAAGAATAAAATACCAAAACATGTGAAGAAAAGGAAAGAAAGATTGGGTAAAAATCCGCAAAAGAATTGATTATTTTTGACAGTAAATAAAATTATAAATATTTTATTGAAAATATTTTTTAGAAATTGATTTATTCATTGATTTATGAAAATATTATTCATTTCTTGATGTGCTTCTTGCTATGACCTCTGGAACTGTTCTGCAAATCAATCTTTTTGTTACGATTCTTATTCTTAACGTTTGCCGTCTCGTAGTAATGAACGCCAACTTTCTTGGGTTTGGCGTCTCTTTCCACTCGTCGTCTCTCTCGTGAACTCATCTTTTTTACGTCACTATTAGTCTTATTGTCGGTTGTCTTTGCCTTTGATATCCTTTTAGCTTTCATTTTAGGTTTCAAATCCTTTTCTAATGATTTCACTTCCGTCTTCTCAACACTGTCTTCAATGTCTTCATCTATTTCCTCATTCTGTTCATCCATTTCCTCGTCACTGTCTTCTTCCTCGTCGTCTTCATCGTCCGATTCGAATAATTTTGAGGATTCGTTGTCCAGAGTCTGAATGTCTTCGCCCGAGAAATCCAACTCAACCTCAACTTTGGAGAGGTTTTGCTTAACTTGAGGGCCGACCGGTTGTTCACCAGTCGTAGAAGTGCTCTCTTTTTGCACTTCCTTTTCATTGGCCTTTGATTCTGTAGACATTTCACTACTTTTGACACTATTTGTGACATCTGTAGAGCCCTCAGGAACTGGAGGTTTTACAAAATAGGGCAGTTTTCCTCTTTGCCAGTCATTTAACACCATTTTAGCGATAGTGTTGGTGTCGGGTTCGCCCCCTTTCAACAGTTTGCCCATTCTTTCGGCCATTTTGACGAGAAAGTCGTCGCAATCGACCCACTCTTGGATTTTATAAGTTTTAGTCAAATATTCGGATTTAACTCTTTGGAGAACAGTTGGGATGTGGTCTTCAGGGTCTTTGACATTCTCCACGCGAACAATACCTTTGAGCACAATATCCGTATCGGTATCACCGCTCGGGTAGACAACGCCCGGACAGTCAATCAAATAGATTCTGCGCATTAAAGTGATGTATTGCCACACTTTGGTCTCACCGGCAATGGGCGCCACTTTACAGACCTTCTTGGCCTTCAAGGCGTTAATGATCGACGATTTGCCAACATTTGGGTATCCGATGAAACCGACGCTAATCTGCTTCTTATCGGTGTGTAGTTTCGAGAACTGTCGCAACAGATTAATCATCGCTCCCTTTCCAAACGGATTAGTGATGGACGCCCTGAACGCCATCGTCGGGTACTCTTTGGACAAAGTGGTGACCCATCGCTGAGTGACCCAAACGGGCACTAAATCACATTTGTTGAGCACAAGCACCAGGTGTTTGTGGGGCTTCTCTTTGCGCAGATACTGCTCGATATGTGGAGATCGGGTGCCGTTGGGGTCGCGCGCGTCCAACACCTGTACCACGACATCGCTCGAGTCGATCACTTTGTAGAGTTCGTTCCACAGCCTCTTCGACGTCCCCTTCTTCATGATTATATCCCGCACTTCAGCCCTGTCTGCGCACTCATCCGCCACGATATTCGTGTCTTTGGTCTCATCGTAAGTATCGATCCGTTTGTCGACGGACTCGACAAATGTCGTCAAATCATCGAATTTAATGTTCGGTCGCTTTCTTTTGGCTTTTTTCCCGAAAGTCGAGTCAAAGCTCTGAGTGTCGAGGATATGGACTCTCGAGTACTTCGCCCTCTCGTTCAGGAGAGTGACCGGGAGTTTGGTTTGTCTCATAACCACTCTATACGGGTCTCGTATAGCACTTCCCAACTCCTGCTGAAACTTCTGTAACGCGTTTTGAGTGACGGTTCGGGTGTTTGTAAACCACTTCTGATTGGGCGCTATCCTCGAGACGGAACCGCTGGCAAGAGTTGACTGAAAGGGCGCCGCCTTTACTATCTTCCCCTTTGAATCCCTGACGGGTTTCGAGTTCTTATACATCAGCAGTCTTTTGATGGTTGACTTATCCCTCAAATGGGTGTCCGAAGCACTTCTCACGCGGTCCGGATTCAGACTGTGGTTACCCTTTCGGAAACCCTCTCGAGGTCTGCCCTTCGCTGAAGAAGCACTTCCTTTGCGTGTTTTGGCCATAATTTGTGTCAAAGAGACTATCACTTCAAATGAATCACTGATTTGTATTGATTTCCAATCTATTCAGTCAATAGTCGTACGGATTTTGACCGAAAATCATGAATCACATGTGAAACACAACACACAGTCATTCAGTCAAACATTTATTACGATTACAATACACAGCAGTTAAGGGAACGGGGGCTCAGAGTCTGTAATATAGACTCAATGCTATAACATTGGGATAATGTATTGGGAAATGACATTAGTTGTAATATAAAATATGTTCAATGTTACAATTTAACTTTAATTGTGTTTTCTATGACAATTTGCTTCAAAATAAAATATATTAATAAAACTTCAAACATATTTAAATCCCACACAACACACAGTCATTCAGTCAAACATTTATTACGATTACAATACACAGCAGTTAAGGGAACGGGGGCTCAGAGTCTGTAATATAGACTCAATGCTATAACATTGGGATAATGTATTGGGAAATGTTTTTATTCAATAAATGTTATCGTACTTAACGTGTGCACCATTGAAACACGTGTGTTGTGTGGGATTTAAATATGTTTGAAGTTTTATTAATATATTTTATTTTGAAGCAAATTGTCATAGAAAACACAATTAAAGTTAAATTGTAACATTGAACATATTTTATATTACAACTAATGACAGTGGACAGGGATGCTTTATTTAACACTATACTCTTATTCGGTAGTAAATTAGTCTAATTATTTTGGCATTAAAATGATGGTTAGAAAAGTTATTATTTGAAGCAATCATATTCTACCGTATCTGATAAATAAATGCAAATACCAAGCTTATATGCAATTAGTGATAGCAAATTGCAATTTATGTACTAGTAAAACAAATGTCGGTTATATCATATAACTTATATGAGAGGCAGTGGTTGACTGGAAGTGCTGTTAGACTTGTGGAGAGTCCAACAGCAAGTCTGTCCCACACCTGTCATAGCGATCACTACATATCCGATGGCTTCGAGTTTGTCTAAAACGACTCGCGGACTGTCTTCAGTTTTCCACTCATCACTTCATTTGAGTTAACCATAGATTAGATGTGAATGACTACAACATTATAATGACTCACAATTTGTTTCCGATTGGAGTGGACTTCTCTGCATTCAAGTATTGCATGAGTTGTGGGTCACTTGTGGTGTCACCCACTATAGTGGGCCCACATTCCTATCATTATTACAATTAGACCGATGTTTCATGAATTATTAGATCTTTCATACAAACCAAACGGATTTGTGTGGAAACCAACACATAAGGCATTTCGTCAAATGGTTATCAATCCTTGTATTGTATATGAATTCTTAGTTTTTCGAGTTACTCTTAATAGAATTATTGATAATGAAGTACAACTTAACTAAGATCTAACCTAGATGATAGGAATATCAAACTCTTATGAATTAAAGTAATCCTAACTAATTATTATATAACTTTTTATAAATTATAAGTTGTATGATTATAAGAAATATTTTGATAATAATAAAATTCAGTATTATAATTGATATGAAGTCTGTTGTTTGACATAAAATATGCCAGAACAATTGTTTTCCATAAAATGATTCATTAATTGAACTATTGGAGTGATAAATATAAGCAAAACATTTTTCAGAGTTATTTAATTAATTGAATTTCAGATATTCGTAATATCTATTATAATTACAGTGCTATAAGTTTTAAATTGAAGTGCAGTATATGTTACCCAGGTGAAATTATAAGGAAGTTTTACAGATATAATTTAAATTGTTTTTAAATTTTATACATTGTATGTATTTGTCAGTTGGTTAGTGATTAATTAAAGATTACGGTTAAGCTATCCGTAAAATAGGATATATAATACAAATATGATTGAAATGAAATTGGTATCATTTGATTAGTATATCAATTGAATGCTTTCATAACCCTTTTGACCCCACAATCTTACTTCAGTGCAGTACACTATTGTGAGAATACATGTTAGAACATTACGAATAGAGTTGCTTGATCATTCATTGATACACATTGGATGAGATTTATGCGATATGTTTGCACTGGAGTTGTATTTGTGGTCGCAATGAATCAATTGAATGTCAATTGAAAGCACTGAAATGCTTGTGAATTGGGCTCATAATTGGCGCGCAAACAGACCTCTTGGATAAGAGCCCTCTCGAGGACTGCATTAGTGGTCGATATTATGATCACTAATATAAGGAAACACTGAATGGTTGAGTGTTGAGGCAATTGAACTCAACTTACCATTCATTTGATTGAATAGACAATCAATTGATAAGAAGTGATTGTTTGTGAAGAAGACATATTTGATATGAATTTCATTGAAACCAATGATTGATTTGTTTTGTCATAAGAGTCAACACTTCTGAAGGGATTTTCCCCGAAGTTGTCGCTTGAGTGCGAGTTTGGACACAATTGCGTGGAATCCGTCATCAATGTTGGATCAGTTGAAGACATGGAGTCAACCATAAGAGAGAGACTGTCATTAGTGGCGGCCATCGGTTGTGGCATAGCTTTCGGAGTGTCCGGTATTTACACGTATTTCGTGACAAACCGTCAAATCAATGATCAGATCAATAGTCTCACGAATACTGTCGAAGACCTTAAGAACGAAGTGAAGGAACTGAAGGCCCAATCGATGGCCGCCTCTCAAACACATTCACCCATTCATTCACAACTGTTTCACTTTGACTCCGGAGCCGATGGAAGCGATCCATTCATTAATCGTCTCAACTGTTCCGGTGATAACTTTTCCGTCAATCGGTGCCAAATCGACGGTCAATTGAATGCCCCTCCGGTTGACTCCAGTGTCACCACTGATGACAACGAAGAGTTCTTCGACTTTACCGAAGGGTTTGTCTCAAAAGTATTAAGAAATGACTTTTGGATAACGTTTTGAATTTGTATTCATACAGAGAAACAGAATCTGAACACAACGTCTCAATCAATTATGGCAACAGTTTTGACACCAAATTAGACAATAATTATAAGAATAGTGATATCTCTTTGGAGCAATTGATCCATAAATTTGACACATTGTTAGAGGACTCGTCTGTCAATAAGAAAGATCTTTACGAACAGATTCTTGAGACCCATTCGAAGGTAAGAATCAGAAGCAAACATAAGTGTCGATTACCAGTGTCTATAATACACTATTATGATTCACTATATGATACACTATTAAATTATATGATAGTAAACAATATTTTACTGTATATTTATACTGTATACTGAAATACTATACACAGAATCAATGCAATACAATGTAATGTGAATATTATGTTAAAGTTTGGTAAATCTGTGGACATAATGTGGAGGACAGCAAAAGCCACACATTTATATGGAATCTCAGCTCAAAAGGAGTCCAATAAAGAACTGATGAAGAGTTTAGCGTTTGAGACATTAGATTACGCTAAGAAAGCCATTGAATTGGATGAGAAAAATCCTGAATGTCACAAATGGTAAGAAATTGTTAAAATTATAAAATACCGTATTATTTACACGTAAATAATAATAATAATAAATTGAATAAATGGAAAGGTATGCGATAGCCATCGGATCTCTTAGTGATTTCATTACTACCAAAGAGAAGATATCAAATGGCAATCAATTTAAGAAACACTTAGACATAGCTTTAGATTTGAAGCCAAATGACCCGTCTCTACACCATATGTTGGGCCGCTTTTGCTACGAAGTGTCGCACCTGAGTTGGGTCGAGCGGAAGGTGGCCTCCGCTCTCTTCTCCAAAGTCCCCGAGTCTTCATTTGACGACTCTTTACGTCATTTCCAAAAAGCATATGATTTGAGACCCGAATGGAAAGAGAATATTCTGTTCATCTCAAAGATCCTGATGAGTCAGAAGAAGTACAGCGAAGCCACTAAATGGATAGACAGGGGGTTAGCCATGAAATGCATCGGTGAGGACGATGTCATTGCTCACCAACAGTTAGATTTACTTAATACTAAAGTTCTTAAACATAAATAACAATATTTTCTATTTAATTTCTATTAGATTTAATTGCAAGCTTGACAAAAATTATGTTTATTTATTAGAATTTATTTTTCTATACACTATTATTACGGTACCTTTTTATGTTTCAAACTGTTTGAACAAATGACCACAAAATGTGTCCAAAGATCAGACCTAATTATAAATCGTTTCATTCCAAGCTGTGTCTGATATTTAGTGTATACAAAGATTTTAAAACTTATGACTTTTATTCAATATAATTGTAATTTAATTCAAACAACAAGTGATAATAAAATTTATAGAAATTGTTTATCGTTTGAAATCAGAATCCTATTTGACTTCTGAAGTGTTTTTGAAGAACTTTATTGTGGTTTTGACCCAATTTTAAATCATGTCTTCTCTGAACTCGTTGTATAAATTGGATGTCTTTTGCCCGACGAAGAGCAGCCACTCCTGTAATACCAGTCCATCCGAGAGCTCTGTATTTTGACATCACTTTATCCAAAATAGCTGAAGATTTTGGATAAGGTTTGCCTGAATTGTCGGTCAATGGCTTCAGATTTTGCTTATAATAACGGAATAGCGAGCGGTGGCCGATGACAGCACCGGAAGGCAAAGTCAACTGCCAGTCGTCGTCATCGAGATATGGGATCGATATCTCTTCGTCATCATTGGACTCATTGGCGGCGAAGTCGGGATAACTGGTGGTGTAGTCATAGAACTGTGAATATTCGGGCAAATATTGGTCCGAATGGTTGAGTTTGGTGTGTCCTCTGTCTCTCATGTGCTGTTGGGCTGCTCTTCGCGAACGGAACCGTTTGCCGGAATCGCAACACCAAAGGCAGAAGTGACCGAAACCTACTTTTTCGCCCAAATATCCTATAAATTGTGGCAAATCTTTCACGTATTCCACGTCTGGTATGAAAAACGAGTGATTTTGTGACATATGGCAGACATTGTCTTCAATTGTGTCACTCGAGTGCTCGCAAAACAGACACTCAGTCGGAAGGATGGGCTCTTCGTCTGTCACCTCTGCATCGCTGCCAACACTCTCCCAATCGGAGTCGTCGTCCTCATCGATGGTCTCAATGACATTGTCGTCAGTGATATTTTCGACGACCACTGCATCGGACTTCACTTCTGTCGCCTTCTCTAAAGCAGTGTCTGAATGGACGACATTCTCATCCAATGGTTTGCTTTGGACTGAACTCAAGTGTCTTTTGCTTCGGACGTGTTGTGCGAACGCCTTCTCGTTATTGAATTGTTTTCGACAAGTCTTGCAATAGTGCGAAGTCTTGTTGTGGTCATCGGTCTTCTGGTGTGTGCTTTGGTTTCGATGCACTTCTTCGATGAGAGAGAACTGCTGGTGAGTGACCACCGGAATCGCAGCCAATCGTCGCTTCAGATTATATGAATGCCATTCACTCTTGTAGTGCAGGCGCTGATCATCACTTGTGGCCAAATTGACGCGACACGTGAGACACGTGAACCAATTCATCGACATCTAAGACACCACTCTTGCAGTGAATGCGATGTACAGATCGTTGTCTTCACGCAAACTTCAGACCAATGAATACAGCATTGGATTCACAGAAACGCAAAACATGTTTCACTTTATGGAGACTTACGAGACATCTATTGATTGCAAACAAAGGCCACAACTTTTGGTTCAAAATCACAAACTTATGACTTTTAGAATTGCATTCAATTTATTAGGAATTACTTAATTGTTATTTATCAGGGTAGTTATTTATGAAGTATTATTTATGAGTGGACAGGGATGCAGCCACCATGCTCATGCATGCAATATAATTATTACAACATTACATTATAGGACAGTTAGTTATGTTAAGAAAATAACAAACTAACTTCAGTAGAGTATAATTGCATAATCAATGTATTATATAACAATTACCGGTAATTGTTATTAATCCCACATTATTTAAGGTTATATCGCAGTCGTTTATATGAAGTTTTATTATAATTGTCTTTTAGTAAGATTATATAAGATAACTATTATATTTTTCTAGATTCTGTATGTGATAGTTGTTACCACTTAGATATACTGTTTATGATTAGAGACAGTTATTGATAGTTTAATATAGTGTATGGACATAAATGTAATGAGTACAGTACATTATTAACTTGTATCCACATAATTGTCCAGTAATTGTGACAAAAACCATGTGATGACCCGTCAAATACCATTGAATTGCAATTAGTAAGCCCTGGAAGTTGTCATAAATTGCTATCAAATGCATGCATACATTCATAATAGACTCAAACATTTAACAAATGTGAATATTATAATAGAAAATGTTTTCTACAATTGATTTAAATTTGGTGTTCAAATTATTGATTGTTTGCAAACTAATGATATATAAGTTGGCCTTCACTTCAATGAATGCAAAGATTGGTCTAAAAGTGAATATTTGGTGTCAATATAAAAGATTTAGTGTTTTATGAAACAACTGCTAATTTAATGGACATCTTAATTGAAATCAAATGTAATGAATGTTAAAGTAATAATTGATAAAACTTATTAACTCATAGTGTAGTCATGAATGACTGTTCATTGCATTGCATATCAGACTCAATGCATTCATTCAATGCATTTCATCGCTGCACACAGTGTTGGCCACAAGTGATGGGAGGTTCGCATCCAAAGCAATGCAATCGCAGACAATATTCTTAATTTGCGTGCAATCCTACGACCCTTTCATTACTAAAACAGTGAATTTAATTCAACAAATTGCTCACAAAACAGGACCCCTTCCCCGCAATCGCAATAACAGTGTTTGTGAGTGAATGTAGTGAATGGTCTACTATTGGCTGCGTGCTCATAGAGGTAATGAATGGCATGAATAGTGTAATACAGTGTTATAGTGGAGTTTCATACGCTGTACAGTACTGTACTATAAGTGAGTCTATTTGGTGTGCATTTGCTGTGCGTTTTGTGTGCATTCAATGCATTGTCTGCATTGCTTTCACTAGTGCTTCACTGTATCCACTAATCCACTGTTGTTTCACTTAATTGTAATCATCTCGTGATTGACATCTTCGGCAGCGACTGGTCTTGGGATCCGATCAAGTGTTTGGTCTTAAGTGACATAACGTTTACCAATACAATAGACTCAGCAAACAATTAATTTATATGACGTCTCCATTAAGTCTTTTCGGTAAACATTTGTTACGTTTATTACTATTTATTCAATATTTCACTCATTATTGCATTCATTCACTCATTCAGTGAATGATTTAAATGTTTGTTTAAAATTGATTTCTTATTTGAATTGATTTCATATCAAATTCATGCGAAATGTATGTATAATGCGATGAAAGCACTGAAAGTTGTCTCAAATGATAGCTATATGTATGAAATGAATGGAAATATGGCTTCAAATGGTGTATTGCATTGGTTTGCGCTATAATTGTCTCACATTTTATGTTATAATTATCTAACGTTTAATTCATTTAACAGATAGTCATATGTTTTATCAATCAAACGATTAAATGACTGTTGAATAAAATTTTCGCCCAAAATGAGTGTTACATATGTTTTATATGAAGTCTTTCCTCATATTAATTGGTTTAATAGATAGCAAGCACTGACTGAACGTTAAAATTAGGATAATTTAGCATTAAAAGTTCATTTTATGATTATGTGAGACAACAATTGCCACCATTTGCGAGCCAATGATTACAATGACTTCATATCTGTATGATATGAATGTTACTTATTTACCGTTTTATCTCAAGATTACTTGAAACACATTGACAATTGAGTGAAAGTCTAACCAATGATTTGATGATTATTTTGCACAGAATTTCCGGTTCGACACAATCCTCAGTCAGAGATCTATTCTATAGACACAACAGATTGTATTCAATCCAAACGGATATCATTAATATCTTCACTGTTTATGCCTTGTCATCGATCACCACATCCGCCAAATCTCTTAAATTCGCGGTATTTATCACATGAATGTCTCATTTATAGCTATACTAATGGCTTATCACTTCCAATGCTGAAGGTATTTATCCGGTAGTGTTAGCGCCGGTAGTCAACGAAAATTACAACCGTTTCGGTCGTGACTTTGAATCCCAATCCAATCCATTGTATTATATGTTGGGGTCGCCCGTCATTCGGTCCGAACACTCGGCAGTCATTTCCACACAAATAAAGCCCCAAAACATTTCAAATTGCATTCAATTTCAGTCAAAACCAACATATTATTAGTTCTCATATTATTATTAATTAGAGTTTAGAAGTCTTAGTTTGGGTCCGACATGGGGTCCGTCAACGTTAACCGCAATCTTACCGATCAGTTCTATCGCTACAAAATGCCTAAACTTATTGCCAAAGTCGAGGGCAAAGGCAATGGCATTAAGACAGTGATCGTCAATATGGTTGAAGTGGCGAAAGCTCTGAATCGGCCGCCGATGTGTATGTCCTCTCACTGCAGACTTGTCTGAATCTGGTATTCATTGCAATCTTCTCTCCCTATCTATGTTCAGATCCAACCAAATACTTCGGGTGCGTATTGGGTGCACAAGTGAATTGTGATCTCAAGAATGAGCGCTATATCGTGAACGGCGCTCACGAGTCGAATAAACTCCAGGATCTGTTGGACGGATTCATTCAGAAATACGTTTTGTGCAGTTCTTGTGACAATCCGGAGACCGTTCTCACAGTGAGTCAGAAGAAGGGAACCATAAACTCGAGTTGTAAGGCGTGCGGACACAGCGTTATGCTTCCGGCGACCGACAAGTTGGCCACTTATATACTCAAATACCCGCCCAATCAAGTGATAGCATCGGGTGCTTCAGTACAACCGGGAAAGAAGAGCAAACGTAAGGCCAAAGAGGAGGGCAAGAAGAATGGAGACTCCAATGACCGCAATAGTCCTCAACACGAATCCGATGAATTCAATGACGAACTCAATGGCGATGACGACGACTGGTGCGAAGACACTGATGCAGACGCTGTGGCCCGACGTATGGAAGAGTTGAGTGTCGGCGCCAAAGGGCTTATGCTTAACGACGACTTGGAGAAGACATCCGAAGAACGTCTGCAGATCTTCTTCGACTTCACTAAAGTACTGCTCTATAAGACATGTTTTGTTATATTTTCTCAACAATTGGTGTATTTATAGAAAAAGAAGAATGGATTCAATGGACCATTGGATGCGTCGCTGCAGAAGGAGATCATAGGCGAAGCGGAACGGCTTGACGTTCGAGACAAAGCTGTGATCGTGTTGTGCGAACTCCTATTCGATGACCCGTCGAAGATATTGCAGCAAATCAAGACACAACGGGTCCTCTTTTTGCGCGTATGTATCACTCATTTGATATTCATTTAATAGATAATTACCGGTAATTGACAATTGATTGGATTTGTCAAACAGTTCACAACTGACAACAGCAGAGCTCAGAAGTATTTGTTGAGAGGCATTGAGCTGACGGTTAAGGAGTTTAAGGATCAGCTGATACCTCGTGTGCCTCACATTCTGAAGCAGTTCTACGATTTGGATATTTTGGATGAGAAAGTGCTGCTCGAATGGGGCTCTAAAGTAGGCGTTGATTGATATAAAAAGTGTGGAATTGTATTGAATTGATTGATGATTTAGGTTCAGAAGAAATCGGTGGGCAAAGAGATCGCTCAAGAGATCTACGAGAAGGCGCAGCCATTCATCAAATGGCTTAAAGAAGCGGAAGAAGAGGAGTCGGACAGCGAAGAGGACGAGGAGGAGATTGAAGTGGTATACGATGAGCGCATACGTCCGGACAAAATCATACAAATCGAGGACAAGGAGGAGCCGAAAGCCAAAGCCAATGACTCGAATAACATCCAGTCGGCCACCGATGACATCGATATCGACGCCATTTAGTCGACACTATTCTACGTCAAAATGATTTGCTTTTATGACTTTATTTTGTGTTTATGATTTCAATTTAATTGTAAACTTATTATTAATTTTATTGCTATAATATTATTGATTAGTTTTAATCTCAATTCAATTCCTTATTATTTAAAACGAATGGTTTGATTCAAACATCCATTTGATTGATTGATTCTGTCTTATTATCTAATAAATTGATAAAACTTTGCATTCAAAAGGTTTGACATTTATTTAAATAGATGTATTTATTGGTATTATACTAGAGTAGTGGTGTACACTGTACAGTACAGTACAGTATTCAATTTGTTATAAATTTGCCAAATTATAGGTAATAGACTGACAACTCAATTGCCTTTTACAGTTAGCTTCACTCTAATCACTATAGTTTTGCCGTTAAATGAGATTTGTATTTGTATGACCTGGACTCATTTCTGAATTATTCTTATTACGGTATAATTGAATCCAATACATACAGTATCACAACATTAACCACTCATTAGGCATTAAACAGTGATTGTCATCTTTTTATTGTCTTTTCAAATACAAGTCCGTAAATGCATGGTATGATTGATTGTAACTATGATTAGATTGACAATTAGTTGTTGGGTTGGGTTGGGGTCGGTGTTTGACTGAATCTCAATTCAATTCCTTATTATTTAAAACGAATGGTTTGATTCAAACATCCATTTGATTGATTGATTCTGTCTTATTATCTAATAAATTGATAAAACTTTGCATTCAAAAGGTTTGACATTTATTTCAATAGATGTATCTAATTATTGGTATTATACTATAGTGGTGTACACTGTACAGGACAGTACAGTATTCAATTTGTTATAAATTTGCCAAATTATAGGTAATAGACTGACAACTCAATTGCCTTTTACAGTTAGCTTCACTCTAATCACTATATCATAGTTTTGCCGTTAAATGAGATTTGTATTTGTATGACCTGGACTCATTTCTTAATTATTCTTATTACGGTATAATTGAATCCAATACATATAGTATCACAACATTAACCACTCATTAGGCATCAAACAGTGATTGTCATCTTTTTATTGTCTTTTCAAATACAAGTCCGTAAATGCATGGTATGATTGATTGTAACTATGATTAGATTGACAATTAGTTGTTGGGTTGGGTTGGGGTCGGTGTTTGACTGGAAAATGTGGACAATTGNTAGGCATTAAACAGTGATTGTCATCTTTTTATTGTCTTTTCAAATACAAGTCCGTAAATGCATGGTATGATTGATTGTAACTATGATTAGATTGACAATTAGTTGTTGGGTTGGGTTGGGGTCGGTGTTTGACTGGAAAATGTGGACAATTGGCACAAATGTAGACTTAGATGTATTAGCTAGGTAAATTATACCATTAGGTATAAGCTCGTGATGTACAGTGACGAGCACTCGTGAGTGATTGGTGTGTATGGTGTGGTAGAGTAGGTGATGGGCATTGGGTAGGTCTAGTGGGTGTCTCATGTCACCTGCAATGTGTGTCAATACGTATACCTATACCTGTCTAATGGTCTAATGGTGTGTAATGTGTGGTAACCGTAATGTTGTTAATCTGTCAGTGAGTGAGTGCTGGCACTGCGGCCATGAGTGTGTGTGTGTGTAGTGTTTGGATGACGTCATACGTGTAGCCATTGTTTGGCACTTTCCATACATTAGTTGTTGTATTGTTTTGTTCACGCAATCTATAACTCAATTCATATTACAATCAATTGATTGCTATTTACATACATTTAATATTGCATTCATTTGTTCATGAAATTGTCCACATTTGATACCATATTTTTATATTTTATTTATTATTTTAGATATCAATAGTAGTATTCATAACAATAATAGACATTCACTTGAAGTCAAATCGATACAGTATTTTGTGAAAAGTGATGGCATTTCAATAGTGATACGACCATGGTCATATTGCTATTGTTCTGATTGCAATTAGTGACAATTCATTGATATCAAGTGACCCACATCCATTTGTTTATACGTTGGGGTAAGTCTTACATGCATTTCACTATCATTTCAATTGATTTGCATTCAAATCAAAGTAAACATAAATCACACGTATTATAATTACATTGAATGATCACTAATTGAGCAAGGTTACCATGTTGAATGTGTGTACTGTATTGGCAAATGTCTCAATCATATCGTAGTGACTGATTGTAGATGAATTGGTGGTCACTGCAACCCATGCCATCACTTACCACTCATACACTCATAGACTTAGTCTGTATGTCAAGACAAATGGTGACAATTGTTTGCCTTTTATACGAAGATTAGACCAATTGATAGTTGATATGACACTTAATACTGAGATAAGGGGTGCGGTCGACACCTCCGAGGGTTTTGTTTGTCATTTAGTTGTGATTTTATTAATCAAAACTTACATTCATTTTGAGTACTGTTTCAGTGTTTGACGATATTTTCAACCAATAGTTTCACTCAAAAGATGTCTAATTGTGAGGAAAATGTTGGCAAAAATTTAGGCTTTTTATCCAAAAGTTCACAATTAGTGGTGAAGTGTATTGAAGGCAAACAAAGCACTACTTTAATGAATCAATTGTTTACTCATTTGAGTCCTAATTGTATTGAAAATGAATTATTAGTTCAAAATCCTAATGAAGACAACATTTCATTGAACGACGATTTTCGGTATAAATTGCGTTAAAATATATTTACATTTTAGTTAATATAAACTGTTATATAAATAATAAAATATTTTATCAATCTTTTGATTTATTAAAAATATACGACATTAATATAAAATATAGTTTATTTTGGTTTGCAAACAATGATAACATACATAGTATTACAGTAACAGAGTTACACCAGTGTTTAGAAATAGTTGTGAATTTGCAATGAAATGACAAATAATTAGCAAATATATGGCAATGAATGTGTTATAAGACATTCGTGAATATCTCTGCCAAACCTCCAGTTCGTTGATCTTAAGGACCAAACGATTAGCGTTTTGGAGAAGAATTGCGTTATCTTTGAATCAAAGCAAGAGTTGTGCTAATAATGAGTGCATAAGACCTGACGTGTGGAGTGTTTAGTGACCCGTAAGACAGCGTTTGAGTCAATTGTCTTCAATTTGAATCCCTTATAAATTAGCCTCAATTTCCTACACATATTGAAAGCAATTTGACATTTCGTTTTATATTAGCATTTCTAGTCTCTTATGAGACGAAAATGTTTACTTGCAATGCAATGATTACAAACCGACCAAACCATAGGAATTTATCATATATATTGTTCATATTTTTGCATTTATGCTTCAATTATTGTAATTGATTTTTGTTTGAGTTAATTGTTTTGAGTTTGTTGTGACTGATAAATGTGTTGAAATTGTTTTTTATAAGTCGCGTCTCAGACAGAGTCGGAAAAGAGTCTGTTTTGAAGCCAATTATTTTAGTTGTTATTTGTATGAATGTGTGAATGTTTTCATTCATTAATAATTGGTTGCGTTATAACAGAAACAAAATCAAACTCGTGGACAGTATGACTGCTATGACTCAGGACGAGATCATCACAAACACCAAAACTGTGATCCAAGGGTTAGATGCCCTGAAAAATGAAAACCATACCATACTCGCCGGTCTTATGGCGTCCCTCCAAGTGGTCAGAGAGACGGCCAAAGGCGACGGCAACACCCGTCTCATGGAGGAGAAGGCGTCCATCATTCAGAAGAGTATCGAATCTATCGAACTGGGACTCGGAGAGGCACAGGTATGCCATTGACTGCGGCTTTAATTGCGGCCTCAAATCTGACGAATGTTTGCATGTAATGATAATCAGGTGATGACAGCACTGGCCGGACATTTGCAGACAATCGAAGCCGAGAAACAGAAACTTAGAGCACAAGTGAGACGTCTGTGTCAAGAGAACGCTTGGCTTCGGGATGAGTTGGCCAACACTCAGCAGAAACTGCAGGCATCCGAACAAATGGTGGCACAACTGGAGGAGGAGAAGAAACACCTGGAGTTCATGAACTCACTGAAAAAATATGACGGACAGGACTCCACCGTATGTCGAGTCACTCTTTTTTGCTTTTTGAGACCAAATTTAATTATTAAATGTCATCTAAATGTGCGAATCGTTTGCCAAAAGTGATGTCTGAGCTCTATATTTGATCACTTGATTGCATGCTTTCACTTGACTTGAGTCTCTTTTTGCAGTCACGTGTGAGACCAGGAACTGGTAGTAAAAGTTCGGCAAACATTAGGGGAGCGCATGAGGTCTTTCACTCGAAACATAATTTGTTTGATTAATTTAATTGCAAATAAGGGTTTAGCAGAACATTGAGTTTGTTTTGATATATAATTGCAGATTTCCGAGGACTCGTTCAGTGAAAAAAGCAAATCCGAAACCGAACCGCCCCTTGACTTAGGCTTTCCTGATGACGACGACGATGTACACCCAGAAGGTCTAACGCCTACACCTCCCGGACAAATGGCCGCTGCAGCCAATGCTGGCTATGAAATACCGGCGCGTTTGCGAACATTGCATAATTTAGTGATACAATACGCCTCTCAGGGCAGGTATGAGGTGGCGGTGCCGTTGTGTAAGCAGGCATTGGAAGACTTGGAGAAAACGAGTGGTCACGACCACCCGGATGTGGCCACAATGCTCAACATACTGGCCCTCGTCTATAGAGATCAGTATAAATACAGAGAAGCGGCGAACCTTCTGAACGATGCGCTCACTATTCGCGAGAAGACGTTAGGCGAGAACCACCCGGCAGTGGCCGCCACTCTCAACAACTTAGCCGTTCTCTATGGCAAACGGGGGCGTTATAAGGAGGCGGAACCCCTATGCAAACGGGCGCTTGAGATTAGGGAACGAGTGTTAGGCAAATCACATCCAGACGTGGCTAAGCAACTGAACAATTTGGCACTTCTGTGTCAAAATCAAGGCAAATACGATGAGGTGGAGAAGTATTACTTACGGGCCCTCGAGATCTACGAGAAGGTGTTGGGAGCGGACGACCCGAATGTCGCCAAAACGAAAAACAATTTGGCGTCGGCTTACCTCAAGCAAGGAAAGTATAAGGAGGCGGAACTCCTATACAAACAAGTGCTCACCAGAGCTCACGAGCGCGAGTTCGGCAGTATTGACGCCCAAAACAAACCCATTTGGCAGTTGGCAGAGGAACGGGAGGAGATCAAGAGCAAGAATGGAGTGCCCAATAACGCTGAATATGGCGGTTGGCATAAGGCTGTAGATAAATGGTTGGTTCAATGGTTGGTATATGCAGTGTAGGACTAATGGTATGTTTACTGTTACGTGTAGTCCAACAGTGGCGACAACACTGAAGAATTTGGGCGCTTTGTATAGACGGCAGGGGAAGAACGACGCCGCGGAAGTGCTCGAAGAGACGGCACTCAGAGCTCGCAAAGAGGTAATTGACTTTTCATTACTCCATAGCATATAGCGATCCGTTATTGTAGTGATTAGAGATTGGTATCTCAGTTACCAGTAGAAGCTTTCATACCATAACTCTGATACTAATCTCCCGGTGACGGGTTGGGTATGTTATAGGCATTCGATGCGGCCGTACGTCAAGGCAAGTCTCCTCATTATTTAACCACTGATTTTATAGCTGCACAACAGCCCAGAGATAAAAGACGATCCTTTTCTAAGGACAGCAGTAGACGTGGGTCTCGAGAATCTTTAGAGAGTATGGGCGACACCATCGCTATGAACGACGACGTGAGTAACCGTCCCATCACTTCATAACTATCCACTCACTACTCATAAACTGTGCAAACATTGGCCAGACATTAAGACATTAATTGAGAAAAGCTGTCATAAAATGGTCTCATTTAATATCATTTGCATGACTTGTATGGCAAACATCACNCAGGGGAAGAACGACGCCGCGGAAGTGCTCGAAGAGACGGCACTCAGAGCTCGCAAAGAGGTAATTGACTTTTCATTACTCCATAGCATATAGCGATCCGTTATTGTAGTGATTAGAGATCGGTATCTCAGTTACCAGTAGAAGCTTTCATACCATAACTCTGATACTAATCTCCCGGTGACGGGTTGGGTATGTTATAGGCATTCGATGCGGCCGTACGTCAAGGCAAGTCTCCTCATTATTTAACCACTGATTTTATAGCTGCACAACAGCCCAGAGATAAAAGACGATCCTTTTCTAAGGACAGCAGTAGACGTGGGTCTCGAGAATCTTTAGAGAGTATGGGCGACACCATCGCTATGAACGACGACGTGAGTAACCGTCCCATCACTTCATAACTATCCACTCTCTACTCATAAACTGTGCAAACATTGGCCAGACATTAAGACATTAATTGAGAAAAGCTGTCATAAAATGGTCTCATTTAATATCATTTGCATGACTTGTATGGCAAACATCACGTCGACTCTAACTAACTATAAGTGATTCAATTGTTTCTTTTTATTTATTAATTACTATTACTATCAATGCATTCATAGCACAGACACAGCATTCAAATCCTTATTCATTTCAATGGTTTGTCTTGAATAATGTGTAACTCTATACTGTATTGTGTTTTATACTCACTTCTAATGTACTGTATCTCTTAATAACAAAATTAATTTTCATTTATTGAGTAAATGTATGCTTTGGTTGTAAACTTAACCAAATAGGATTCAACTAATGCCTAATAATACCTATCCTATATTCACAACTGCATGTCTGCAATGTTGAATACAGTAACAGTAATATTGTGATGATTTCATACTAATTGCTAAATTGATACCTACACCAGTACTGTATTACACTAATTGTAAACTAACTGTTATATGAGTTTATTGTTTGCTGCACTGAATGACAATTTGCACTTT